GCAAGGAAAAGATAAGAAACATCCAGAATCACTTTTTTTTTACAGTTCAAATGAGGCCAAGTTGATAGAAAACATAACTATTGTTAAGGTTTGTCTGCTGCCTGTGCTGTTAAGCACAGTAATCAATAGTAAATTCTCAAAAAGGTAACTTAACTCAGAATTACAATTGCAATGCACATACATTGAACCACTTAATATGCACACAGTCATACTCTATTCCTCAACTGAAGTAACGATACTTGTCAGAGTCTGCCTCATTTTTAGTACTCTATATAGTACTGAAACTCTTATTGTATCTATTGGTTTGCTTCCACAGGTTATACCAAAAGATATAGTATACCACAACAATTCTGAATCAGTTCCAAATACCATCTACTTAAAAAATGCATTAAAAATCTGAGACCCCTTACTCCCCTGGAATTGAAATTTCCTCAATGATCAGACCAGTTTTATTCACAAAGTTGTGACCACTGCAGCATCCCCAAAGTCATGGGATCATGATTTCCTATGTTCCCTGCCTGCTTCTCACAAGCGAAGTAACTGGGGAAGCTGTCAGGAAGTCAGAAGTTGCTCCTACTCCCCGCTTCTTTTTTGCATACCTATGGTCATTCTATTTATATGCTTAGGCAAGGAAAGATTGACCTATTACTGAAGTTCATTCACCACTACAATATTTTTTTTATTTATAATATAGACCTGTGATGACACGTGCCAGAGGAGGCACATAGAGCCCTCTCTGTGGGCATGTGCGCCATCACCAGCTGGTCTTTGGGTTTCCGGTGCTGCTGTGTGTGTGTGCACATTCCATTTTTGGCACTTGATGCCAAAAAGGTTTGCCATCACTGATATAGACTCTTCTTAGATGAACATGGGACCATCCAGTTTTGGGGTAAAAAAAATATTTTCAGCCTAAAATTTAATGTTCATTCTGATCACATCAAACTGCACTATGTTTCTCTCAAAGGATGACCCAATGGGTCACAGGGTTGTCTAGTCATAATTAACAGAGAAGGAAAATTAGATCCTTGTGGAGCAAAAAGGGGAAGCTAGATCCTTAGGTAGGGAGGTCATGAAGGAAAGATGAAGGCAAAATCTTGGGTTGGGTTTGGCAGTAGGGAAAGAGCTGAGAAAGTAGACATGTAGCAAAGATGGTAGGACGAAGGAGGCAGAAAATAGCCAGGCACAGGAAGGAACATACTGGAGTTGGGGGGCGGGGGGGCAGAAGCAAAGAGCGGGGATCCCAAGTTGAAGTGGAAAATAAACAGAAGAGCAGAGTGTTAGGAAGAAGAAGCAGAGAGCCAGGTAGGTAAATGAATAAGCACTGAGAAGGAATGCAGACGTGTAACAAAGAAGAAACCCAATGGGTTGGCCCAGGGGGAAAAGGGCAGGCTGATCAACCTCTTTGAAAACCCAGCAGAAATCCTAGCCATTTGGCTCTTTTTAGATTTCCAGCAAGTTGTGGGTTTCAGAGGCTAAAAACTAGATTTGTTTGGAAATACTGGATGAATTTGTGCTGGTTGAGATGAAAAAGAAAGAAATGAATTAGGATGCTCTGGCCAACTAAGGTGCAGAGTTAAAGAAAAGGAGTAATGGAAAGTTCAGCCTTGCTTCCCCTTTTTTAAAAAGCAGTGAGTTCGTTTTAGGGAGCCCTGGGCAAAATCCAGAAGATTGCAGCCTGTTCACTTTAACAAAAATAATTTCCCTGCAAAAAGCATGCTGGAGCTGTTTTATTAAACAGCCCTGAAGTGCCTTTATGTTCCCCACAGACAAAGAGAAAAATCTCTTCAAGATCAAACCTCACACAAAGAGGCTTGACCTCCTCTTCACACAAAACAAGTAGCGAATGTATACTTTTACATGGGAGTAAGGGGCTTTCTAACAGCAGGTTTTAAACTTATTTGCTGTATTGTTTCCATCAGAGGTGCTGCAGACAAAATGTTATAAAGTCTGGATGCAAACCTCCTTCACATTGTAGTGAATATTATTCGTTGCGGGTTTGAAGGCAAACCTTTCTAAAAAGCCAATAATGTGAGAAAGCACAGCTGCTAAATTTATTGTTAAGTATCGCATCACTGATACTCCGGGGGATTTTTCTTCATGGGAAGAAAGCTTAAATAACATTTTCTAGCACTTTGGAGTGCTTTCTGTATATGTGATGGCCTACAGAGGCAGTAGGGTACAAAATCACACAGGAGCTGTGGCTTGGTAAACAAGCTTCATCTTTTGTTTTTTTCCAGACTATGGACACAAATAAATGCAACTCTGTTTAATAAGAATGAACTATAGCTAATCTTTTGTGCTGCAAAAGGTACATTATCTCTCTTCCCTGTTTCACCTGACTAATCTGGAGGTATTTGTTCCATCACCTGATTTAGAAGTTGGCTAGAAATAATAAAGACAAAACAATCTGCAATTGTTACATGAGAACAACAGGCTTTCGTGTCCTTGAGCTCACCATGACCTTTCACCCTGCCTATCCCCAATGGTCTTTCCTAAGAACTAAAACTACACTCAGACTGAATTCCAGATTGTCAAATAAAGAGCCCTGGCCTTTCAAAACAAACCAATTTTTACACCAAGGTGGGGAGAAACACAAGTCCATTGTTCCCTCACAGATGGAAGTTAGAGTTACTAAGGCAACAGCTCTAATCCTCCTTTTAACCACCTTTTTCACATCACTGGCCTATCAAGTATGCTACCTTTTAACTCATAAGCTCAGAAGCTGGTAGTCTAACTGGCTGCTCTAATTAGCTACGATTTTCACAGTACAGACAACATGATGAGCTAATCGAAATTTGCAAAATAATGACGTACCTCCAGCAAATATTCCTCCTCCTGAGGCCCAGTCTTAGAATAACAATAATGAGACCATTATTAGAGGAGGGCATTAAAATGCTGCACTGCTGCTAAACAGAGAACTTAATTGTTCTGGTCTTGTCCATTGAATCAACAACCTATTGTTGCGAACTTGAAAAATAAAGGACTAGAGAATGGGTGCCATAATGATTGGTCTGCTCTGCCATACCAGCACTCTGCAGAATTGTTTTTCCTTTTGAGACTCTTGATGGACTAGTAGTTTTGTTTAAAAGTAATATAAAAGGCAATTGTTTTGGATAAAAAAAGTCCTATTTATTGAAATCCTTAGAAGCGGTTGCCAGGATTGTTCATGACCCCCTGAGATTCTGTTTTAAAAACCACAGACACAGGAGTACTACTATTTGAAGAAGACTGTTTCTACTGCCTACATTACACCAGATATCATTGCTCGTCTAGCTACTGTAATGAAAGAGGACACTTCGTTAGCCTTTCTAGTCCCTTAATAAAGAATATATTTCTATTGGACACATTCAGTTAATTAGGAAATTGGGGAATTACAAAACATGATTTATTCAAGATACAACCTTGAATATTCATATAATTACTTAAAATTCAGCATTCTTTTTGATAAACAATGCACACATTCAACCATTTCTGGTACAATATTTCATCATCAAAAGTAATGCAAAATACAATTCAACTTTTTTTTCCCAGTTTCACTATGTGATGTCCCACAACAAAGGCAAATATTTCCTCCAGACATAACAGAACAGAAACAAAAAGCAGGGGACTATAAAGAAGGAATAAAAGGAATTCAAAGATTCCTTTTCCATTAGGAGAATATACCACTGCTGTTGTACCAGACAACATTTCTGCTAGCTCCCTCAGTCCACAGTAGCTAAGGTCTCATATGTCTTATCTTCCAACATGCCAGCAGGTGCCAAATCCTCATAAAAAATGCTTTTTAACAGTATGCAGTGCCGCAGCAAGAATATACAAGTGAAACTTTTATTCATAATCTCTTGATGTTGTCTAGTGGATGGATGACAGATGGACAAACAGACGGTGTGTGTGTGTGTGTGTGTGTGTGTGTGTGTGTGTGTGTGTTTGTTTGTGTGTGTGTGTGTGTGTGTGTGTTTGAGTATAAATAAATGTATAAATTAAAAAAACTTTAGGGAAATTGCTCTCGATACTGAATTCAAACCATTTAAAATCAATCTGAGAGCTTTGAGATAATCTCTAATTAAGCAATTCCTTGGAAGTTGGTGATCTCTAAGTGGATAAATGTTTATAAAGCAGAAATTGCCCACCATTTATTAGAAATAATCCTTCATGGTCTTTCTTTCTGTATTTATAATTCTTTGTTCTTTCCACTCCAGTAACTAACTAGTTACAAAAGCATTCGACTGAACTGCAACCCAGCTTTTGCTCCCTCCCAAAAGAGGAGGGTCAAAGCTGTTCACAGTAAGCAATGGAGGGAAATGGTTGTAACAATGGATTTTGCAACCAAAGGGAATACATTAGTAGTATCTTACAACAATTGCAAATTGTTGTCAGACCCAAATTTCTGTGAGAGCTTGAGAAAGTTTAAAGTAGGTAGTTATCATGCAGTGAGATATATATGTTTATTTTATTTATTTATTTATCAGCACAAATGCAACACACACACACACATATATACATACACACACACATACACACATTATATATACACACTATATACACTATATATACTATATCACTATATATATATATACTAACAAAATAACACTAAGTAAAATTTCATTAACTTATGGCCATGTATATACAAATTTAGATAATTAGATAATTTAGATTTTAGATAATTTAGATAATAAGAAATTGATGAGATATATACATATACAAACAGACACGCACACAATATATATATACACAAGTGTATAGACAAATATTTGAAAGGTTGGAAGTCCAAAGTCAAAACAAATAGGAATAATCAGATTTCAGCTGCATTGTGGAACTACCTTGAAAAAAACATCTGATATTTTCATAAGACGTTTACTTTTGACTGCTATACTTTTATCTCTTTTTTAGAAAAGCATTGGTTTTTATACCTTGAAAGATTGGTGTTTTATTAGGAGAAATACTTATTTTCATTGTATACAAGCTCTTGGTCATAGAATCATATTTCCTTTAAAGTCAAGTACCTTTTTGTGATCTGAAAAACAAAATACATTAATTTATTAGACTGTAAACAAGATACCTTGTTTTATACAATTCTTTTGTTTTATTTCATAGCTTCATTGTATTAGGCTAAATTAATTAAGCTCATCTTTGTATATGTTCTCTTTTCATTAAGTATTTTGGTCTTAGTGTAGCAACAAACTCAAAGAAGGATATTAGAACTCTACACTGAGGAAGAGCAATGTTAATTAGATTAAATGTATTAGTTTTATACAACATTTATTAATATTATACTTCATTTATTTTTTAAAAAGTCATATTTCAAGATTTCCACAAACATTTCAAATTCAACATAAATCTGAAATATACTTAAGTACTTAAAACTGTTGTTTTATTATACAAAACAGATTTTAAAAACAGACATTACAGGAGAAAACATAAAGATTTTACATTATTTAGGAAAGCAAAAAATAGGAAGAATAAAAGCCAAGTTGCTGCAGATTTTCTCTTGTTGATTTCTTTAAATAATTAGTTTCACTACAAGAATTATTTCACCAAAAATATAACGATAACAAGAAGGGCCATGTTGAATTGTTCTCCACATTTTCCTCCCTTTATTTTCAACAGTGTAGCTCCTGGGGGCTATACAAGTAGACAAAATAGCAAAGCCTTTTTTAATCTTACCCCGATCAACAGAACTTCTCTTTCTCCAACACAGTTTGTGCATGATATCTTTCTGATAGTGTTTCTTATTTAATTAAAACAGACACTGACAGAAGGACATGGATTAGAACTGTAATGATGCATTTACTTAGATTAATCGGAGTCTCCTTTTGGAGTAATGGCTTAAACAAAGAACAAAAGGGAATTGTTATGAAACAGCCTTTTATCCTAAGCAAAGGTCATATTATGAGGTTTTTAATTTTGTCATCCTCTGTTATATCAGGCCTCGCTACTGGAACATGAGAAGTGGCCTTTTTAGTTTTTCAAAGCCCATTATTATAATATAGCCATTAAAGCTGCAAATTAAAATGTCTGATTTTAAAACAGGTTGCTTAGCTTTCAGAACCCTCTAATTAGCATGTTGTGCATTGTTGTGAAGGAAAAATGACTAAAACACTAATGACCACTGCCAGGTGACCGCACTGCTGCACAAAGTAATAAACCTCTTTTTCAAGTCACATAATGAATTATCCAAGCTGGGGTCTCCCCTACATCATTTTACACATAAAGAAATACATATATTCATTCAGGGGTTATTATTGTGAGATTTAATTTACTGTAGTAGAAAACAAACCCAAATCTGAATGACAGAATTAATATTAAACAATAAGGCAAAAGACAAAAAAACATTCAAGGAATCAATAATGCAATTCTCTAAATTTCTACTCACATCCACTGAATTGAATAGGGCTCATGTCTGTGTAAATAAATTAAAGGGTTGTATTTATTTTAGTAGCCCAACCTCACTTCCCCAGAATCCTGAGCAGCTTACAAAAATGGAAATATTTTAATTGAAATCTATATTTAATAGACTCTAAAATAATAATTAAGAAATTCAAAAGGCTTGGTTGAAGAGAAAAAAGTAAGAAGGGTGATTTTAATACTCCTTTTCTATTAGTGCCACTATCACTTAAAAGTATGCATTAGTGTATCTATGCAGTAGCATAAAAGTGAATCTTCTGCTATGCCATCCTATCAAGACAGATGGGAATTTAAGGTTTCTAGTAAAATTGAGGTTTTTGTCTCCATAACCAGAAAAGTATAATTTCATCTGGATCCAGTGGCATAGTTGCAATGCAAATTATTGTTAGTCCCAAGGGGTGGCCATGGTGGCACAATGGTTAGAATGCAGTATTGCAGGCTAATTCTGCTGACTGCCAGAAGTTCGATCCCCACCTGCTCAAGGTTGACTCATCCTTCATCCTTCCAAGGCTAGTAAAATGAGGACCCAGATTGTTGGGGGCAATATGCTGACTCTATAAACTACTTAGAGAGGGCTTACAGCATTGTGAAGCAATACATAAGTCTACATGCTATTGCTATTACTATTTTGAAGGACAAATATACAGTATGTGTATACAAGTCTTATTACATGTTGGCCATTCCCAATAACATGTAAGCTGAATGTTTAGCTTTTCTTCTTATGCTTGCTGATTGACTGATTGAATTTATATGGCTACCCAGCCACTCTGTTGATCCTTGGCAGCTCACCACAATCAATAAAAGCAACAGACACAAGACCAAACTATTACCCATCTGACTCAATCCCTGTCCTCATCCAATGGTTTTGGGGAAGAGCCGGGTCTTCATGACCTTCAGAAAAGTTAAAAGAGTAAAGATCCCTCCTTGAATCTCAAGTGGGAGGCCATTCCAGTAGGGTGATAACAGAGAAGGTGCACATCCAAGATGACATCAGTTGACAGCAATTAAAGGAAGGGACCTGGAACATGTCCTTTTTCTCTGACCTAGTGAGACATAATCTCAGGAAGAAACATTCCTGAGAATAGCCTGGCCCATGTAGGCTTTAATGATGATAACCAGATTTGAAGTGCACTCAAAAAGTAACTAGAAGTCAGTGCATCTCACACAATAGTAGTATACATGAGAAAACCACAGGGTACCCAGCAACTACATTGCACTAGTTGCAGCTTCTAAATGGTCTTCGAGAGCAGCCCCATGTAGAGTGATTGTAGTAAATCAATTGGAAGTGACTGATATGAGTGATCATGACCAAGGCCTCCCAGTACAGGAATGGGTACAAGTGGATGACAAGATGAATTTGGGCAAAGTCTCACCTAAACAGCTGCCACTTTCCAGGAGGAGCCCAAGTCCAGGAGAATCCTGAAATTGTATCCTAATTCTGGTTCAATTAGGAGAATGTTACCCCATCCAAAGTCAGAGATATCAATTCTCCTGATCCCAGGGAGCCAAAGATCCATGATCATTCTGTCTTGTTAGTATTTAATCGTAGCCAGATTCTCCCCATCCAGATCTTATTGCCTCCAGGAACTAATGTAGGATCACAACAACATCACTTGCCTTGGTATATGGTAGAGAGATATAATTGGCTATTGATGATACTGAACCCCATGATGGCAATAGCATTCAGATACCACTTTACAGTGCTTTACAACCCTCTCTAAGTGGTTTACAGAGTCAACATATTGCCCCCAGCAATCTGGGTCCTCACTTTATCCACCTCAGAAGGATGGAAGGCTAAGTCAACCTTGAGCCTGGTGAGTTTTGATCTGCCAAACTGCTGGCTGCTGGTGATCAGCAGAAGTAGCCTGCAGCACTGCACTCTAACCACTTCACCACCACAGCTCTTATGATATTGAATGACCTCACTCAGGAGCTTCGTAAACTATCAGAATGGAACTAAGATAGAACTTGCCTACATTTCCCTTTTCAGTCTTTAAAAATGCAAAATATAGATATAACATCTCCGTCTGTATTTTAAAAACTGCCCGTATACATGTAAAGTTAAAACCCATCTAATCTACACCAATAATCTTTAACATCTATGGCCCAAATGTTGACAGATCAGCAGATAGGAATACTAGGAACTGTGGTTCAGCAACACATAGAGAATCACACAGACCTTTCTGAAGTAAAGTTAATAGACTGGAGAAAACTGATTAATGGTTACTGAACAAAGGTGAAATTTGCTTTTTTAAATAAGAGTTATATAAGACCAACTATGCATAGCAAGTAGCTTTAATGATATCGTACAAACCAGAATGAGTAAATGTCCACTGAAAGTGCCATATTTAATTTTGGAAGGTGATACATATAAATGCAAATGGCATTATATCACAGAGGCTTGAAAGTTACTACAAAATGATGGATTTCAGATCTAGGCAGCACTATAAGTATTAAATCATTTTCACATATGTTTAGTTGATGCTCAGTCAGTGGTGACCTGCAGCTAATTGTCTACCAAAACTACAGTAGATCTTCAGCCAAATTCCAGCTATAGCATTAGCTGGACTTATTCATTCAGACATGCAAATCATCTCTCACTGGGACAGCTATTAAATAAATCAACATCCATTTTTGACCTGTTCTGAATCAAAACTGTATGTTTACTCAGTTGGTAGCTGTGATGTGGAAAAGAAGCTGAGATATCACACTTCTGGAGTTTCATGAGAAACAAAATCTAGAGTGTCCAAATCATCAAAGCATCTTACTCATAAACCTTTCAATGAATTTAGTAGTAGGTCAGCACTAAAGGAATTACAAGAATGGGTCATAAGAGAGAATATTTTAAGGATACTGTGTAATGTGAACGAATGCCTTCTGTGTGTAACTCAATACCCACGAGCCTAAGCTAGCATTTGAAAAGCACATTTTGATTTAATAAAAGTCAAATGTTGAAACACACACCACAGTCGTTTTAGCAAATAAGTAGAAAAATATGGGGCCAGCCTCCCACATGCAACATGAACATTGGCTTTAAACTTAGAATTGTTTAGATAGTAAATTAACTGTGTTGCTTAACCTTCACTGGATAAAAAGCCTTCCAGCCAATATCTGTATCCATTCAGCATTAGAACAATGAGCTCCTGCCTAAGCATAGTACTTAGTGTCCTGCGGTTTTTATCGAATATCCATATATTACATTAGTGTACATAGCACAGTAGCAGTAATTTAAGAGTTCAGCATAGCAGCCTGGTAGGATCAGGCTGGCATAACAGCAGTTAGTAGCGTGGCAAAGTACAAACAGTAGCAAAACAGTTACACAAATTCAGGGCTCATAATGCTATGAAAAAAGAATAAGAACTGAAATGGATTTCATGTAAGGAAAGACCAGATTGTTAAACTACAGAAAGCATCTGTCTTTCATATAGGCTACCCTTTAGGAAAAGAATTGACAGTAATAATCTTTGGTGATTAACTTTACAGCCAAAATTCTGTTCACTGTCCCAGTTTGGATGCTCAGTCTCTGTCTGAAACTCAGCTAAGTCAGTCAAGATAGGAGCACATTTGTATCTATGCCACAAATAGAAAAAAGAAAACCAAGCTGTGTAC